GAGAGAGAGAGAGAGAGAGAGAGAGAGAGAGAGAGAGAGAGAGAGGGTTGAGTTGATACACGGTGACATTCGGGCACTTGCCCATATTTTTTTGCATCCGGACGGTGACATTAGGGGTTATCGCTGCAGACAATTTGTTTGTACGGCTATTTGAGTTTACATCTCCCTCTTCTTTTCCCCACTCTGTCTCTTCCTCCACCGCCTTCGTTTGTGGATGTGCAATGTCCCATCCTTGCAGCGCTGCCGGACCAGAAACAAGCAGGGCTAATGTGGCAAATCTATCACTTGGCAATTGCCACAGCGCAATGGTTGGAGGCTAAGAGTCGGCACAAGGACAAGAGATGCATGGTGGGTTGTGGGCAGGTGGAAACTGTGGCCCATGTGTTTGTGCCTTGCCCCATTGTCAGGGCATTTTGTGAATGGTGGGCACAAGAGCTAGCAGATAAGACCCCGCTGAAAGTCACCGAAACAGCTGATGCGGCTATCCTGTTGGGGCCTTGATGAAAGTGGATAGGGCACGACCAGAGGATTTGATGGCGGCAGAGACCCTGCGTGCGGCAGTACTACAGCGCTGTGGAATGCACGGTGTATACAGGGCACTTCCCCTCGGCTACGGGCCTATAAGCAAAGGGTGCTGGAGAATATTAGAATAACTCTCCAGGGGAATCTGCACCGGTGCAGCCACACAGGAGTGAAGAAAGAGGCAGGCTTTTGGGCACGATCGGGTCCGTACCCCCAGCTGCTTACTCAGGACCCCTGCCTGGGCCGCATGCAATTTGGCCCAATCCTACTGTGCCATGAGCCTGGGACTGCTTCAGCAGATGATTCCCATTGACAAATTAGAAGACCAAGTTTCGCGGTCCTCCAGAGCAACCGTATTGTATTATAGTTAGAAGAGTTAAGACCGAGTTTGGCGGTCGTGCAAAGCAACCGTATTGTATTATAGTCAGAAGAGTTAGGAAGCAAGGTAGGAAGGCCTGGAAGGGGTAGACGTAGTATAGGTAGATACTTGTATTACGATAAGGTGGGTAGGGGACAATATGTACGAGATAAAGAGTTAGGTAGGAGGGGTTACAGGGGGGAAAAGGAGATAAGTGGGGAACTAAATCATAAAATGACTAAAAAAAAGTCAGCATGTAAATACGAATGCTGGGAAAGGTGAGTGCTAGCAGTTATGGATTAGTTAATATTATTAGTGAAGTACAGGGTGGTAACAAGGGCTTGACGAGGTTATGGGATTCATAACGAGGGGTGGAAATAACAAAGAAGGATGCGAGAAGGGATGAAATTAGTTAGGGGACTACCATCTCTCACCCGAATAGAACGCCCAAAATAACAAAGGATGGAAGAAGGGATGAAATTAGTTAGGGGAGTACCATCTTCAGCCGAATAGACCGGCCAATAATTATCACCGTATCTGGGCTGAAAGTTCAGCCAAATACATCTATAATGACCGGGCGTTCTATTCGGGTGAAGACGGTAGTTACAGTGAGTAGGAAAGCGATGTTATGGGTGTAACTGGTAGTACCGGGTAAGAAGGTTGTACGGCAATTCAGGGGTGGAAATAGTCTGAACTGGGATAGGCAGTATAGGCAAGGTTGTGGGCATAGTTGAATGGTGATACAGGTGTTATGCGGCCTGAGGAACTGTTAAGGAACCCTCTTCCCCCGCCCCCCCGCCCTTGTGTCCTGCCCTCCTGGAGGTTACCCTGCTGTGTGACTGGGTGCTGCTAGCAAGCCTCCCGACCAGCAGGGCAACCCCCTACGGAAGGCCACAGACTGGGGAAGGGAAACCCTGTAACAGTCCCCCCTTGCTAGGCGGCTAGTGCCACAAGGGATGGCCTGATCCTCTTTCTCGTCTCTTCCCCCTCCTTATCTCCTGGATGTAAACACATACTTGCAGGTACTACGCAACCGACCTGTTGCCCCCCAGAATAGAAAGGGCATGGTTTTGGGGGGGGAAAAAAAGAAAAAAAAAGTAAAGAATACATCAGTTTTTTTCAAGAAGAGCGTAATTGGCACTGCTTTGATGTCAAAGGTTTGACCAATTGATTTGGACTCCTTTCTACAGGAGGAGCCACCACATCAGACCACTTGTTTTTTCTTTATAACACGTGTTGTCTCAGGGCATACTCACAGTAGGACTTTTCCTACTAAGCTCTGGCAGTCGTTGCAACCAGACCCATCACGATCTGGCTGTATTGCAGTCAGATTCATTTAGGAAGGTGCTGGTGCTGGTGTAAGTATGCCCTCAGAGATTCCATTTGAGAAGAAGGATAAGTGATGCACCAAATGAACAATATACCAAGCGAAATGCCCTTCTTTTCGAAGTATGATTTGAAATGAAAAAACAAAACACTCTCCCCGACGATCCTACCTCGATTCCCCCTTCCATGGTGCTGGAGAACCTTGCTGGCTTCAGCCATTGGTTGTCATGTGCCCGGCTAGCACCTGACGCACGTGCCTAAATGTTATTCTTCCTTTGCTTTTTTTGCAGTTTCTTGGCTTTCTCCCTTGAGTTCACAACAGGCACCCGACGCCAGTGCCCAACGAAAAAGGTTATCGCAATCATCTCGCTACGATATTCAAATGCTACACTGAAGCGCAGCAACACCGTCAACAGTAAGTGGCCTGCTCTAGCGCCTGTTCTAGCACGTGTTCTAGCACCTGTTCTAGCGCCTGTTCTAGCACCTGTTCTAGTGCCTGTTCTAGCGCCTGTTCTAGCACCTGTTCTAGCGATCTCCAACAACAAAAAAAAAAAACGCTGTGCTCTCCTCAAATGACTGAGTCACTGAAGGTCACCAGGTCTTCCTGTACTGCGTGGCATCGTTGCGAACAACAAACTCAATGCACAACAGGCAGGCTGTTTGCCAGCAGAGCCAGTATGCCAGTCTTCCTTGCCTTGTCAGTGCAAGTTTGAATTTTGCAATAGCAGCACACCTGCTGCGCTGTCCGATGTTGAACCCCATAATGCCGACACCCATTTATTTTAATGCTGTTATACTACAGAATGAGAGGATCGCTGCTTCGTTTCTGCTCTGACTTGTACCCCAAGCCATGCTGTATAGACTTTGCAATTCCATACATACATTCTACAACACCCTTCAGGAGCGAAAACAGTGTAAAGTAGACACACCGCCAATGCCTCTTGTCTATTGGTACAAACCGCAAATTCGATTCAAAGATTTCCAGAAAGGCAGAGACCTATTTCTTTTAGATGGACAACGGCAAAAGCGACAAACACAAAGTTAGAATATCAGGGGTGCGCGTTTCAACACCAAGTTCCCCGACCAAAAAGACATCATCGAGACATATTCGGAGTCTTAAGAAGAGGGACGGAGCTGCTTTCAAGGACATACATACATGACATGATACATATAACAAACGCCAAAAGCTAAGCCCTAGATTTGAGTGAAAGGAGATGGAGCTTCCCAACAACCCGCCAACCTATCGACTCCGCCTTCTGGCATTTGGAGCGACCCGAAAACTTTGAACACAAGCATGGCTTATTACCATGGCTTTATACATCAGGGAGAGGGGAAGGAATATGGGTTAGAACTTAGAGGATAGCATTTGCAAGAGCTGAAAGACATCGAGGTGTTGGCTCTCGTGTTCTAAGATGAACATCGATCATCCATGAATGATCTCTTGCCAACACACAATGAATCTGCTTGCATCGAATTTGATCGGAAGGAATACACGACAGCAGTTGGACGGTAATGAGGCAAGCCATCACCCCCCCCTCCCCCCCATCTACCCCTCCAGTCCAACAAAGAGCATGGCATTGCTTCAACCATCCGGCATCCCACCTCCAGGCAGACACTGTCGCCATAGCCCAAGGCAATTCTCCTTGGAAACCAGCGACAGCTTCACGTGCTCAGGAAAACTGAGCCCAAGGGGAAGCGTTAAAAAACATTCAAACAACCAATTTATTCACCGCTTGGTCGCAAACACCATACCCGGCGTCACAAAGCGCACAACGGGCCCTTGAAAAGTAAGACCTTCTCAGGAGTTTTTCCAAGGTGACTGATGTGCGAGACACGCGGCTCAAGCACTCTCAAGTCATATCACCTCCGACGTGCGAGACTCTCTACAAACTGCAAATGCCCGTTCCTCCCCGTTCCTTCCCATTCACACAACCTCCACCCTCCCTCACAAACCATCTTCAAAAACATGTCACTCTCCAATCTAGTCGTCTGACCTGTGACCAAACTCGCACAACCCCACAGGCAAGCCTCCCTCTCCATGATCGCTTCCTGCTGCTATTTGGCAACGAAACCATGCCCCCGCAGAAACTCCCAACGAACCAAGCCAGGAAGCGGAACCATGATGTGAATCAAATGCTCTGTTGTTGTTGTTGTTGTTGTTGTTGTTTCTTTTTTTTTTTTTTTTTTTTTTTTTCTCTTTTTACGTGCACATGGCGTCAACATTCTCGAACCATGTCCACTGCATTCGCTCAACCACTGTTCTCAGGGATTGCTGGCAGGCACACCTCTGCGCCATATATCCCATCATCCTTCACATCCCAGCCGTCTCAGCGGGAGAGAGAACTCTGCGTTCACCACCACCATAAGGTTTTGGACAAAATTTGCGTGCACATCTGATCACGCAGCAAACAAATCTCACCGTGTTCTGCATACACATCCACTCACATCGTCGACAAATCTGCAAACTACACCATCGGAACACAAGCACAAAAGCACAGGGCGCATATGCACAGCATGCATGCACACGCCTTCATAACAACACAAGGACTCGCACAAACACATGTTCATGCCACCAACACAAGGCCGTCTTCTAGCCCGTCAACGAAGTCCAAACTTCCAACCATGTATCAAGAAGCAAAGGCGTGGCTGCCATGACATACCAACACGGCAAGAGTTCTTTTCTCCATCGGGAGAGAACAATTTATGGAAACTTGGCCATCATCTCCATCTTCTCCAGAAGCTCCGGAGACATGCTGACCACTGCCACAGCACTTGCACCCGCTAGTGCAACCACCGTCGCAAGGGCACAGGGCCACCATTTCGCAAACTTCCTCTCCAAGCTCCTACATACTTTGTCAACAGCCCTTAGATGACCCACAAGCGCTCCATCACTTTTGCACTGACGAATGGCGTCTGCGTTCTGATTGATCACATGCCATTGACGGATGCACACCACAGAAAGCAAAAACACACAGTCAAAACCGAGCACGGTCGCCGTGCATCAGAACCTTCTTCTCACCATTTCCAGAATCACACACACTTCTCAGTGTTCTCACTCTTACAGCACTCAGAGGCACCCGCACATCCCCACTCATAGAAAATAGAGTCAGACACACGCACATCCCCACGCGTAGACAATAAATCATTAGGAGATAATAATTCAAAGCACCGAAAGCACACTAGAAACCTTCTTCTCACTGTTTCCATAATTGCACATACACGCACACCTCACTCTCTCACAACAATCGGACGCATTTCCACATGTAGACAACAAGTCGCTAGGAGATGATTCAAACTCTATCGCAACAAGGGCGGCAATCAAGAGGACGATAACAACGAGGAATGAGCGAAAACAACACGAGCAGTAAGAGGATGGAGAGCAAGGCAGGGGCGGTGAAGGAGACAAAAAACGGGAAGGAAAAGAGGACGAAGAGGAAGGGAAGGGAGAAGACAGGGACTCTACAACCTCGATAGAATGGTTTCACAGAGATACCTGGAAGTGGGTAGGGCATCACAGGATCTTAACAACCTTAAAACCACCAGTACATAGCTCAGGCAAACTAGAGAATTGAAATCGGTTTATTCCAAGAAGTGTAGAGGGTCCGGCAGCTTTCGAACTCACATGGATTGACGCTCCAAACACAAAGAAGTTTCAGACATGTTCTGAACAATGTTGTAGTTCAAACTACATCCTCCACAAAGAACTAAGTCAAAATCGGCGCACTTAACCGCCATTTGCTCGAACCACTGAGCTACTAGAGGCCTTTCTATTGTCGTATATTTTTGATAGTCCAATTCTCAAACTTATCATCTGGAGTACAAGCTTTTTTTCATATGCCACACAGGGAGATTGAAGACGCGACCATAGGCGCCGCCAGGTGGCGGCCCTTAGGCCTTAGTCCCATGCTATAAAATATGCAACGTCACCCATTCATTCAAAATTTAACAGCAACATGCAAAAGCCAGAAACGTCTCATAATCGTACGAGACCGGAAGGCCATACTAGACCCGGAGACGCGAATGCCATGTGAACTACAACTGCACTCTACAACTGCACTCAACTGGAACCTCCTTAGAGACCCACTTGGCCTACCATTTTAAGGCAGAAGAGGAATCTGTTTCGGCCTGGGACAGCCGACCACAATTTTATAACGGGGCTAATGAAACGGTATTCACCAATTCGTGGTAGCTGAGGCAGATCCCAGGGCTCGATCCCTAGTTCCCCAACTTACCTGTGTACAATACCTGCGTCAAACTCGAAGAGTTGAACCTGCGACCTGTAGAACCGCCAGTGGTAGGTAGGTCTGTCGTCGGTCTATAGGTAGCCAGGATTCGATCCGCAGACCTGTAGATTAGAAGGCTAGCTGCAGTCCTTCTAGAAGGTTGGCAAGCGGTCAAGTGGTGCAGGCAAATGGGCAAGTGGTGTGACTAAAGCAAGCCCATGTTGGAGACGAGGACAAGTGGCAAGGGCAAATAGTAGGACCCCAGTGCAACTGCACTGCGTCGTAGGGTAGTCGCCATGCAGTCATGGGAGAGTCTAGAAAGTACCAGTCCGGACCAGCAAGTACCACGGGGGGGACTGTGTGCACCATGGGCCAGGGATACAGGGCAGACCAACGCAGCGCAGAAGTATAAATCAAGAGGCTGCGTCCAGCCATTCATTCATTCCTACGGATGCCATGCGGAAGCGCTGCCTTAGCAGCTTGTGCGAGGAGGTCTGCAGTGTGCCCGAAGACGAAGTGGGCAGAGAAGTGTAGTGTAGCGATAGGTAGTGGCAGCTAGCGCTGCCATAGCTGTAGCATAGCGTGTGTGTGTGTTGCGTATGATACTGAGTGTTGCGTGTGGGAMATCCAGGGTGATCCAGAGTGCGAACAGTGAGTTGTGTGGGCGCCCAGTCGCCATAGCCAGTTGAAGAGAACTCGTATCTGGTTACGATATCTTAAATACTGTCAAGGCGCATGTCGCCAGTTGCTGTATCGCCTGTTTGCATGCAAGACAAGTGTGAATAATCGGAGTGTGAATGCACTAACCCATTCTTGGACTGAATCCGACGTCATTAMCCTGCCACAATTTTATAACGGGGCTACACGGCTGGGCTCCATTTTTCCATTCTAAATCAGGCCCTGACCGTCGACTCCAAGTGGTTTTGCTTGGACTATGTTGTCCATGGGAGGTATCATGGATTTACTATTTAGCTCATCTTGCACCTTTTCTCATTCGTTTGGCATTAACTGGGTTTACGTGTTGTTGTATTACAAGCTTATATGTTTTTACTCTTCTAATAATATGTATGTGCCTAAACGACGCTTTAAATCTTCATTAACTTAACCACTTTGTCCCACTTTGTGGCCACTGGTGAGACAACAACCGCCGCGAAGCGTTCATCTTTCCCGACCACCCCAGGGAGGGGTGGCGTCGGCTCCCTTCTTTTCTTGGCCAGGCAGCAAAGGAGGCTGACGAGCGGAAAAAGGGATTTGAACCCTCAACCCCCACCATTCTGCCCATGGACTGATCCGACCAGTTTCTGTGAGGGATTCCAGGTTAAAGCCTCACACCTCAGCCCTTGATCACACTAAACCTGTGCAAACGAGGAAGAGGACACATGAAGAGAGGTAGGCCACAACTCAAATGCGCAGACTGAAGGGGCAGGTCAAACAGAGAGGCCAGCTCGCTTCCTAGCAGTGCAACCAAATCTGTGAACCAGTAAAGCTTTGAGATTAATCTTTTTTTTTTCAGATTAACCTCCAGATGAACTTTTCAATCTTTGAGGTTTTGCCCCTATAGGGAGCGGCATGCTATCGATGAACTTTTCAAGGAACCTCTCTGTGGCCTGCTCGCCTCCCAGCAGCGCAAC